AGACCAGGGGCATCCCCAAGGATGCGGAGAATGACAGCCGTGTGGGGGGGGGGTCCTGAGAAGGGGGCTGGAGAAGGGGTCTGCGGGAGAGAAGGAAGATGCCCAGGAAGGCAGGACATCCCCTTAACGCACTTCGCCTCTCCAGAGCGGAGCCCCTGCCCCCGGGGCACCTGCAGGCTCACGACCCCCCCGCCCCAGCGGAGCCCGCAGGACTGTCCAGGGTCTGCAGGCAGAAGCCCAGGAAGCCAGGACGAACCTCCAGCAGGGAGACGCAGCAGGCTGCGTGGGGAGCGCGGCGGGCTGACGGCAGGATTTCACCGGGGCATGCCATGACGGGTGGGAAATCAGGAGCAAACAGCCCGCTCCGCCTCGGCGGGACTCAGGAAGCCCCCAGCCCTGCCCTTCTCAAGCAGAAACGATGGGACGAGGGGGAATGGTCTGAAGTTGCTCCAGGGCAGGTTTAGGTTGGACATTAGGAAAAACTTTGTCACTGAAAGGGCTGTCAGGCTCTGGAATGGGCTGCCCAGGGAGGTGGTCGAGTCCCCATCCCTGGAGGGATTTAAAAGAAGGATGGATGAGGTGCTGAGGGACAGGGTTTAGCGGTGGGATGGCAGGGTTAGGGGAATGGTTGGACTCTATGATCTTAAAGGGTTTTTCCAAAGTGACTCTATGATTCTATGAGGTGCCTCGATATCTGTGTTTGCAAAACTCCCGGCACCCCTCCGAGGCCAGGGTTATCGGAGTGTAAAGCACTGTAATGTACGCATTCATCTAGGCAGACACAGACAGACAGGAGGCCGCCGGGAAAAGCACGAAGGTACCCACTTGGTCTGGTGCTTGGAGCCCTTCAGGTGCGCGTGGTACTGCTCTATGGAGTTCAGGGTGACGCTGCAGACGCTGCACGTGTAGCTGCGCTTCAGGCCTGCGGAGAGAACCCAGAGTCAGCACGCGGGCGCTGCCTCGGCGCCGGCCGGGGGCCAGCTCAGGGCTGCACCGGGGGGAAAAACGCCTCCGTGCCTGGGCTGCGCTGTTTGGAATCGAAGCCACAGCCGGGAAGTACAAACGAGTAAAAAAGGCTGAAGGGGGGAAAAAAAAGAAAAAAAAAAAAAAAAAAAAAAAAAAAAAGAAAAGCATTAACCCTTGCCCCCAGAAGACTTCCAATTAACAAGAAGGCACCCAGACTTCAGGTTTCATTCCCAGTTTCCCAGACAACTCTCTTTACAGTAGCCCATCTATTTACTTTTCCAGGCCAGGGTATCCAAGTGAAGCCTAAAGGGACATTTTTGAGAGGCACAGACCGCGCAGAGCCAAGCTGGGTTCAAAGGCAAATCCCTCCTGGAGCCCCCGGTCCCCGCAGTTGGCCGGCGTCCCACCGAGCATCACCGCGCTCAGACTAACGAGCACACAAGGCCCCGGCTATGCCTCTGGTTTTTCGGTAGCAAGCACAGTCAGGGCGATTCCTCATTAGTGTATTTGAGGAGCCGTTTCACTTAGGGAGCTTTTCTTTCCCTCCAGAGGGACCGGCTCTGATTTATCCAGCAAAGGGAACGGCCGCGTTTGTGGCACGCAGCCGCCGATCTCCGAGAGCCGGCGACTCGGGAGGCTTCACCCCAA